AATTCAAGCTATGCTTCTCAAATCATTATCGTTGCCTGTTACAACAGCAACAATAAAGAGATCGTTCAGTATCTTACGGCGAGTTAAAACATGGTTGCGCTCAACAATGTCTGAATTCAGAATCAGTGGTCTCTGGATGTTAAGTGTTCATAGGCAAAGGATAGCAAATAATGAAGAAGGCTTTCTCAATCAAGTGATAGATAGGAAAGGACCCAATTTTTATGGAAATGGCTTTTAGTCGAATTGCTTGAAATTGAAATATGTTGTAGTTCTGAGGTCCCTGATGAAAGTCTCCATAGGCACAACCGAATCCTATGGCTAGTTTCAGAGATGTGGGCGGTCAAAGTATCCTCCGCCGATGTGCACTACATACGCGTCATTGTCGATTTTTTAGGGCTTTATTTCTATTATATATGAGTTAAATAGTTACAATAACAATAATTGTAATAAATATTATAATAATTATAATATAATAAATATAATTATAATTATAATTAAAATTATAACTATAATTAAAGGACATCGTACGTTTCTTATGGAAAAATTGGCTCTCAGTCGAAATGTTGCTCAGTTGCTTGAAATTGAAATATGTTGTAGGTAATAGTATCCTGAATAAATGTTCTCATGGGTGCAACTTCTAAAATTGGGCAGTTTACGAGCTAGAACCTGCTTAATCCACCACTTTGTAATTAAATAAGATAAATGTAAAACATATGAAATGCGTACGTTTGTAGGCTATTTCAAGTAATATAATAAGCGATTCATTTGTTTACTCTTTCGGTAAACGCGCACTTATACAATCATACACGTTGTATTCACACCGCATAGACCTACATCTCTTATGCACTCTGTTTAGTAAGCATAGTGAATATATGCATATTTTTGTTTACGGACAATAATATTATTTTGCTATGGCTTTCGGATCTATTAAACTGCTTTATATGTGATGGGCGATTTCAAGCAAGATTAATGCGGCGCATTGATAATAATGATGATGATGTCGCAAAGAGAGATATTTCTATTTTTCGACGTGATGCAGCAGGAAGACCGCCCTTGGAAGTAACTGATCTTACAAGAATATGCGTTCATTGTAATACATCGATTCTCAAGGAGATCGCAGAAGTAGAACGCGACCCCACGTGTATGAGACTTAATGTTTTAACACAAACTCGGAGTGAATCATGTTTAATTTGTAATGTTGATCGTGATATTCAGAGGCTTTCTTTAGAAGCTCGAGTGAATGTCTTTATAATTTCCAATATATACATACCCAGTAATGTAAGGTCCTGTCAGATACATTTAGACGAACGTGGCTTTCTTTTAACAGCACTGCATCCTGGTTTGAGATTCGTTAACAAACCATATATCATAAAAGGACAGGAACTTCAATCAATTCTACAAGAACTTCGTAGAAATGTTTTCTTCACAGGTTATTAATGAAATAGCTTTACAGATGAGGAGTTCAAAGCTATGACTTCTGTTACAAAACAAGAATTTGAAGATCTTTTCTCATTTTGCGACCCAATACCTGCAAATGGCTCTTATAGATATACTGAAAAGAAAGACTTAATAACGTTTTTAACAAAAATGAGACATGGACTGTCGGATGAGGTCCCAACTGGTTAATGTAGTGCAGGCTCGTGTAGAACAAGAAAACTTGCGTCGACGTAGAAATGCTGAATGGATTCGTTTAGATCATAACCAAGTTGTCGATTTTCCCTAACCTTACCTTTGAATATCTCGAAGATCTAACGATTGGAACTTATCAGCTTTCTTTAGCTCCATCATATATTCAGGATTCATTACTTCGAGATGAAGAAGTTTTCCAGGTAGATGTTCATGCAATAGAACCATGGTTTACAAGATTTAGATTGTATTCTCGATTCCGAAATGCGACTATTCATCAATTGTGGATTGCATACAATGTAAGAGATGACAATATAAGAGATGATAATGAGATTGAGGAAAATCTTATACTTGGATACTATTGTACCTGTAAATCAGGAGCCAGAACTTTAGGCACGTGTGCTCATGTTGCAAGCGTTCTATGGTTTCTTGGTTTTGCAAGACATCAAGAACGGGTACGATATCCATCTATTTCATTGTTGTATCGAATATTTGATGCTGCTGAAAGACCGATGCCAAATGATTTGAATGATTTGCCTGAATTACTACATTAGATATAGTAATTATCCCATTATACAAATGTAATCTGTATTACAACGGTGAGAGGCAAGGGGACTCACTTTAAACAAGCACCCCAAAGGGATCACATACCCAAAACGTCCACGTCGTTGATCCTGGATAACGCAAATCTTGGGTAAAGTATGATAAAGTGCAAAATAATATCATTTAATTATTTTATGGAAAATATTCTTACACGCACACATTTAAACAGTAATATACTCTGCATTCAAATGTACACACGCACGCATACATACACAATTTTTCCATAAGAAACGTACGATGTCCTTTAATTATAGTTATAATTTAATTATAATTATAATTATATTTATTATAATTATAATATTTATTACAATTATTGTTATTGTAACTATTTAACTCATATATAATAGAAATAAAGCCCTAAATAATCGACAATGACGCGTATGTAGTGCACATCGACGGAGGATACTTTGACCGCCCACATCTCTGAAACTAGCCATAGGATTTGGTTGTGCCTATGGAGACTTTTTATCAGGGACCTCAGAACTACAACATATTTCAATTTCAAGTAATTCGACTAAAAGCCAATTTCCATAAGAAACGTGCGGGGTCCTTTGATATATTTATTCTTACTTCAGCATTCTCTTGAAAAGGGCCGAATTTTACGGTTGAAATGTTGTGATTTTATTTTTAATAAATTTGCCAGTTTGGTGGACGTTATAACTACGATACATATTTATTTTTATTATCGCTGGTGACATAGAGATTTGATATATTGTTTTTTTAAATTCCCCTGTAGATGCACAACCAGAAATTTAAAACGCAAGCAGGAAAGGAAAATAGAGCAGGCACTAAAACACGTACTGCACGCGCTGCCTCTCTTTTGCGCTGACTCAATCGAAGAGCCAATATAAACAAACCGCGCATTAAACCAAATAAAATAGTTTGTCTGTCTCCAAAAACTGTACGTCAATTAAAAACTGCGTCTACCCTAATTAACATTGGCAAACCTTTATATAAAGAATTGAGCGCCAACGAATTAAATTGCGAAAACTATCAATATTAATGATCTTTACAATCCTAATTATCTTACAATAACAACCTTCACATTACAATTTCCCGAGCTAATCCCTTTGTGTGTATATGTGTGGGAGAGTGGGTGGGTGGATATGAATGTGTGTAAGCGGATGTGTGGATGGGGGTAGGTGGGTGGGTGGGTGGGCGTGCGTGCGTGCGTGTAGTCGTTAACTACCGCGGAAGTGAATATTAGAAATAATATTTTTAAATTGCAATCATTAACACATTTTCAATTCTTACCGCCCAGGTTTCAAAATTTATTTAAATTTGCATGATTTAAAAGTGGATATGTACAAAATAGTCCGACAGAGTTTGAAACACCAGTTGAATATTGTTTCACAAATAAATTAAAATTAACTTGCGATATTTGCAGTCAAGTTGCTATAATTGCCTGCGCATGGTGCAAAAAATCTCTTTGTGTAAAACATTTCTTTTACGATCATCATTTTTGTAATCAATATAGACCATAAATATAAAGCTCACATTTTTCCTCGATAGGCTCTATACTTTTATTTTACTTGAAATATATCTCATTCTCAATAATGTACATATATGTAAATTATGTATTGCCACACAATTGTTCTATAATATGTTAATATATAAAAGATTTTAATATATTTAAATTACTTTTATAAATTATTATATTTATAAATATATAAATTGATAAATGAGTATACAGACTAGAATGTAATGATTGTGACGCGTCGTATATAGGACAAACAAAAAGACATTTGATTACTAGAGTAAAAGAACATCAGAATAATATAAAAAGACATGAAACAAGCCACTCGGTGGTCAGTAATCATAGAACCGAATGCAATCATGACTTCCAATGGCTTGAGCCATGTATTTTACATATCGAGAAAAAGAGACGAAAAAGAGAGATCGCTGAAATGTTCTACAAAAAAGACAAACAAATAAAATTAATTTACAAATAGACACTGATAACCTTAGTCCTATTTATGACATTATTCAAATGATTTAAAAAACATAAAACTAGTCTGCAGTAGCTAACAGATTGTCGATATGACAGGACAACTTTTATGTCTCTATTTTTAATTAATGTAATTGCTGAATAAGAACGACACTTGAAAAAGACCACAATGTGTGATCGAAACGTAGTGTGTACTTATTTTCAATAAATGAATAGCCAGTTTTTGGTCGAATGAAATTCCATCTTATTTGTTTAGGCACAGATAAAACAATAATTAGAAGGTTATCGTTCAGCTCGTTAAACCTTCAAATTTGAAAATACCAAGGAGCTTATGTCAATGTTTTCGCTCTTCAGTTCGCGTTCACCGATGTTTGTGTCAATTTAGACACGTATCATCCGGCTGATGCGTGATTTTGGTTCCTCTTCTCAGTCGGGAAAATCAGGAAGATTCGCCGTACGTGGCGATTCTCGCTTTATTCTGTAAGGAGCTGTTGAGCGATAACATGCTCTCAAGTAATATATAACATTTTTTAAAGTTAAACGACTCAAAGTTACTCCGCCTTCAGTATCTCCTAGCCACTGCTCCCTTGGCTCCTACCTCGCGCTCTTTCGGAGCGGTCCCGGCTATTCATTCACGTTCACATTAAATCCTTAATAAAAAAAACCCTTCAAATCGTGAACATAAAAGTTGGTCCTTCGAGCCGGATCGAGGTAACCCACGGTGAACGCAGTGCGATCATCTCTCTCTCTCTCTCTCTCTCTGCTGGACCTCAGTGACGGACTCATCGTTTCGCCCGCACCCAAGGTAGGGATAGCCAACACGATGAGCGATCATCTCTCGCAGCAGCTAACAATGCTGCAATCTGTAGAGCGAGCGCTCTCCAACTTTAAAAAAGTTGGCAGAGCCAATTACACTGCGGCTAAGATTCGTCAACGAATGTCAACCTTGAAGGAGACCTGGACACGGTGCATTGAGAAGCACGCTATCCTGGCACGAGCTTTCACCGCCGAGCAGCAGCGGACCATGGACTACTTTTCGAACACAATCTTCGAAAATTGCGAGGAATACTACGAGACAACCCTCGACTACATGGCCGACTGCCTCGAAGAGCTGGATCCAACGCCCACCAGAACGAGCCTGTCGCAGTCCACGATAAGTACCGCTAAACCATCATCCTTTTCATTAACTCATTTGCCGCCGATTCAACTACCGCCGTTTTCGGGAAATGTCGAGGACTGGGAGAGCTTCCGCGATCGCTTTACTTCTCTCATAATTCAAAATACCGAATTAACTGCATTTTCGCGGATGCATTTCCTAGCTTCAAGTCTCACCGGTCGTGCGTTCGACACTATAAAATCTATTCAAATCACCGCGGATAATTTCGATATCGCGTGGAAAACATTAATTTCACGATTCGACAATAAGCAACGGCTCGTCGACGTGCACGTATCAGCGCTATACTCTCTGCCGACGGTTGCTCGCGAATCCGCTGTCGAACTTAACGCACTTCGCGCCAAAGCGAATCGCGCTATCGCTTCTTTACAAAATTTGAATCGATCACCCGATCAAATGTTGAGCGATATGTTAGTTTTTAGCGTCACGCAAAAACTTGATCACGCTACTCGGAAAGCGTGGAAGTTAAAAACCGGTGACGACCCGAACATTCCTTCGTATGAAGCTCTCGACCGATTTCTCGACACGCGCATTCGTGCATTGAAGGAAATCTCTCCGGCTAATGCTTCCAAATTCTCGCGCGTGCCAAAAGTTACCAGTGCTAACGCCACTGCCTCTGGTTTATCGTGCCCACTATGTCGGGCCGCGCATTTCATCAACAAATGTCCGCAGTTTTTGCGGAGGACTCCGAGTCAACGCCTTGAAGTCATTTTAAAAGCGAAGCGATGCGTCAATTGTTTGAGCGCAAAGCACGCTGTACAAACGTGTCCGAGTCAATACTCGTGCAGAACTTGCCAAAGCAAGCATCACTCGATGCTGCACGTTGACTCGGCCTCTTCCTCAACTGCATCCGTTGTCTCTCTAAAAAACGAAACCTCGTCGAGTGTGTCGTCAGACTCTATCGCGATCACTTCGGCCACGGCATTATGCTCCCAGCGAACAGGTGTAGCGCTCCCGCAAGTGTTACTCGCGACGGCCCGCGTCACCGTCGGGTCGGACACTCACCGTGCGAGCGCTTCTCGATCAAGGCTCGGAGATCACCTTCATCACGGAGCGTCTCGCACAAACTCTCAGAATGCGTCGCATTCGCCAACCACTCTCGATTTCCGCCGTCGGCGGAATGAACGCCGGAACTTGTCAATTCGCCGCTAAGATTCGGATCGCTCCGATCAATCAAGCTGCTCCCGTGTTAACGACAACCGCGTCGATTCTCAGATCTCTCACAAAATATTCGCCTTACAAAGCAAATTATAGCTATGATTGGAGCTATATAAACAATCTCAATCTGGCCGATCCGAATCCAACAAGCGCTGACCCGATCGAAATCCTTATCGGAGCAGACTTATATGGCGAGTTGCTGCTTAGCGGCGTTCGTAAAGGCGCCCCTGGGCAGCCAATTGCGCAGCAAACCATTTTCGGCTGGGTTTTGTCGGGGCCCATTTCCGAGCTGTCGATGCAATCGCGAGCGATCACCGTTCAGCATTGCGCGAATTCGGAGGCTCTAGATCAAGAGCTCAGACGATTCTGGGAAATCGAAGAAACTCCTCGACAGGCTCTCCTGAGCCCTGAAGAGCAGCAATGTGAGGAGCATTTCACAGCCACGCATTCGCGCAGTGCTGACGGCCGATACACAGTGCGCCTTCCGTTTAAGCGCGGTTCGCCGATCGACATCGGCGATTCGCGCCACACGGCTGAACGCTTCTTGCGAGGCTTACATCGTCGCTTCCTTCTACATTCCGACCTTCGTGCGGCATACGCCGAATTAATGCACGATTACGAATCATTAGGACATATGAACGAAGTGAAGAGCGATCAAGGCGCCTCGCAGGAAGTGTATCTCCCTCATCATCCTGTCATTCGCGACAGTAGCGTCACGACAAGATTGCGAGTCGTATTCAACGCGTCGAGTCTGACGACCAATTCAACGTCGCTGAATAATTACTTGCTCACCGGGCCACAGTTACAAGCGGACTTATCGGCGGTCATTCTGCGCTGGCGACAGTTCCGCTACGTTTACGCCGCCGATATAACGAAAATGTATCGCCAAATAGTTATGGACCCGCGTGACATCGATTACCAGCGAATTCTGTGGAGCGGCGCTCCTTCAGAACCCGCTCGAGCTTATCAGCTCACTACTGTAACATACGGCACAGCCTGTGCGCCATTTTTAGCGCTACGCGTCATTCGTCAGCTCGCTCAAGATGAGGGTAGTTCTTTCCCACTCGCTGCTATTGTGCTGCAAAATACTTATGTCGGTGACGTTCTCTTCGGGGCGGACGACATACCTCTCCTTCGTCAAGTTCGCGAGCAGGTATGCGCGTTGCTTCGTCGAGGCCGATTCGAGCTGAGAAAATGGGCTCAACTCCTCAGCGATATTGCTAGCGCAGATCACGGCCTCGTTTGCGATAAGATGCTTCAAACAGATGACCATCTTAAAATTCTCGGCATCAGGTGGAATCCGTCCTCTGACGCCTTTCAATTTAACGTCACGCTTCCGCATTCCGAGCAGACTACCAAACGGTCGATCCTTTCAACTATCGCAAGATTGTTCGATCCGTTGGGGTGGAGTACTCCGGTTACTGTTGTCGCGAAGATTTTCCTTCAGAAACTCTGGCTGCTCAAAATCGGATGGGACGACGTGCTTTCCGCTGACATTCTCGATCGCTGGGACACCATTCGCTCATCCCTCGCCGCTCTGCACGGTCTTCAATTGGATCGTTGGATCCAACGCGGTGCAGATAGCGTCAGATGCGACTTACACGGTTTCGCAGACGCATCTTTGCACGCTTACGCTGCCGCCGTGTATATTCGAATAGTTTCGTTATCCGGTGAAATAACAGTACAATTGTTAATCGGAAAATCAAAAGTCGCGCCGATAAAAACATTAAGTATTCCACAGCTGGAACTCGCCGCTGCCGTGTTACTCGCGAAACTAATCGATTTTGTCAGATCATCCCTGCATCTCCCTGCAGATTCTTGCCACTGTTGGACCGATTCCACGGTAGTTCTCGCGTGGGTGGCGCAACATCCATCAAAGTGGAAGACGTTCGTCGCGAATCGCGTCTCTGAAATACAATCTAGACTCCCAAACGCGCAATGGAGCCACGTCCCCACTGATCACAATACCGCGGATTGCGCGTCACGCGGTATACCCGGTGAGAATTTTGCGTCTCACACGCTCTGGTGGCGGGGACCTGCATGGTTACATTGTTCTGAATCCGAATGGCCGGTGCCATTCGATTCGTCTCCTTCGATGACCACGATGGAGCGAAAAGAAAACGCTGCGTCTTATCTCGTGTCGCGACGGAAACCATGGGACCTTGCCGCACGGTACTCGTCGTGGCCGCGTTTAATTCGTGTCACCGCCTACATCATGAGATTCATCTCAAAGCTTAAAAGACACTTGGTGCCGCGCGACACATGCGACGAAGGCTCCCGGTCAATTTCCGCGCTCGAATGTAGAAAAGCACGAGACTTTTGGTTGTCGCAAATTCAATCAAAATTATTCGCGCGGGAAAAGGAATCTTTGTTGCAGCAACGTTCGATTCCAGCGAAGAGTGCATTGTTGTTTTTAACGCCGTTTCTCGGCGAAGACAAACTAATCCGCGTTGGCGGGCGGTTGTCGCGTGCCCCCATGCAGTTCTCCGAAAAACATCCTATAATCTTAGCTGCACATCCTCTTGTGAACCTCCTCGTGCAGCACGTGCATTTAAGATCTCTTCACGCGGGGCCTCAATTAACTCTAGCCACTCTTTGTCAAGAGTACTGGATATTGCGCGCTCGAAATATCGTCAAAGGTGTCGTTTTCCGCTGCGTAGTATGCACGCGTGAAAAAGCAGCTACTCCCACTCAATTGATGGGAAACTTGCCTTCGGTGCGCGTTTCTCCTCCTGCGCGCGCGTTTATTCATTGTGGCCTCGATTATGCTGGTCCCGTCTTAATCAAATCAATGTTGGGACGCGGTGTAGCTTCCCGCAAAGCCTACATCTCCATCTTCGTCTGTATGGCCACGCGAGCCATACATTTAGAATTAGTCGAGAGTTACTCCACTCCAGCCTTCTCAGGCGCCTTTTCAAGATTCTACTCCCGACGTGGCCTGCCTGAGTCAGTCTACTCTGATAATGGAACCACGTTTGTAGGCGCCGATCGCGAATTGGCTGCATCATTTCGAGCCGCGCTGCGCGATCCAAACTTTCCAAAATAGTGCCGCTTCCGACGGGGTGTCATGGCACTTTATGCCTCCATCCGCGCCTCACTTCGGCGGACTATGGGAGGCCGGGGTTCGCAGTGTCAAGTATCACCTTCGCAGAATCGTCGGTTCGCACACTCTTACGTTCGAAGAGTTCACAACGATTCTCTGCAACATTGAGGCCTGCCTTAACTCACACCCTATCGCGCCTCTCACCGATTCCGTCGACGATTGCGATTCTCTGACGCCCGGTCATTTCTTGATCGGGTCCGCGATTACGATCGCGCCTGAACCCTCTGTACTGCATCTACCTGAGAACCGCTTGACGCGCTGGCAACTTGTTCGCCAGCTCACAAAACGCTTCTGGAAAATCTGGCAGCAGGACTACGTCAATACCTTGCAACAGCGCGTCAAATGGAAGCAAGTTTCGAAAAACGGAATTCGCGTCGGGTCGCTGGTCCTGTTATGCAATTCTCTCCTTCCGCCTTGTAAATGGGACTTAGCTCGCGTCATCCGATGTCACCCGGGTCCAGACGGTTTGATTCGCGTCGCGACGGTGAAAACCGCGACATCCGAATATACTCGGCCTATTGTCAAATTATGCTTACTTCCGATAGATGTCGAAAGCCTGGACAACCTTACGTAATTAAGTTCAGACTCCAGATATCGCTTTTAACACATTCTGTAAATCGACATACCGAACGCTTCACCAGTCGCCTTTTTTTGTTCAATTCATTTCGAAACGATGGTTTCGAGGCGGGCGGTATGTTTAGGCACGAATAAAAACAATAATTAGAAGGTTATCGTTCAGCTCGTTAAACCTTCAAATTTGAAAATACCAAGGAGCTTATGTCAATGTTTTCGCTCCTCGGTTCGCGTTCACCGATGTTTGTGTCAATTTAGCCGCGTATCATCCGGCTGATGCGTGATTTTGGTTCCTCTTCTCAGTCGGGAAAATCAGGAAGATTCGCCGTACGTGGCGATTCTCGCTTTATTCTGTAAGGAGCTGTTGAGCGATAACATGCTCTCAAGTAATATATAACATTTTTTAAAGTTAAACGACTCAAAGTTACTCCGCCTTCAGTATCTCCTAGCCACTGCTCCCTTGGCTCCTACCTCGCGCTCTTTCGGAGCGGTCCCGGCTATTCATTCACGTTCACATTAAATCCTTAATAAAAAAAAAACCTTCAAATTGTGAACATTATTATTTGTTAAAATTTTATCACTGGCGATCAACAATTAATTGTAAAGAATATATAAATTGTTATAAATTTAATTATTAATATAAATATAAATTGAGAGTGTCAAATAGGCAATAATTTTTTTAATTATTAAATACAATACCATATACAAATTTTGTATCAATATTTCATTCTTTCTATGAGATTACGAAGGAAAAACGATCATCACGAGTAACGAGCGTCTGGCAGATACAAATGGAGCGTGCATAGTGGTATTTATAGTTATTTCTCAAAAATGTTTCGGAATAAAACTTTTTTATATATTGGCCACAATCTCCACTTGATTCCTCTCGACCAATAGAGCCAAACGCGATGTTATTGCGACAATTATGAAGGAAAGAACATTTTTGGAAAGAAATTTGAATCCTATGGTTGGGATCTCAAAAATTCCCCCTGTTCCTTCTCTTAACATCCCCTGTAAAGAAATAGGCGAGAAAAATATTGGTCCGAAAGTCGGCTGAATCGGGAATCGAACCCGAGACCTTCCGCTTGCCGGGCGACTGCTCTTCCAAAATTAAATGCTCTTTAAAAATGAAAAGAGCTGACTAAATAAGTATTCGCATTATTTTTTATATATGGTTGGATTTGAAGTTAAATAAACTTTCAGAATTTTTATAAGATTTAAAAATTTGCAAATATTATAGAAGGTAAAGAGAATTTTGGAAAATTTGAAATTTTTGAAAAATTTTTTTGCACTGTTTTAAAGAACATTAAAAACCATAAAACTTTTACTTAAAACATTTTTTAATATATCTTTTCCCGTTTCGACGGCATTAGCTTAAAAATTAAAGAACCGTTTTTTTTTTTTCAAGAGGATGTTTACCCTTTAAACGTCGAGATACGCTGCTAAAAAAATACCGGTTTAATATTTTTCAATGCTCTACAATTTATTATATATTCAAGGCTCATTAAAATCGGTGAGAGACATTTCCGACCGTTTCCTTGTAAGTACAAAAATGTGAAGTAGTGTTGTAGATTACTTACTCTACACTTTGTACGGCACAAGTTAGCACAAACGTAGCATATAATTTAGCACTATCAAAAAAATTTTTTTAATTCGAAAAGTGCGGGGCTAGCAAAAAAAAATTTTTTTTTCTAGAATATGCTTTGAGTTAGAGTTGCCGTTTGCGGCACAATACAGTACAAACGGAGCACAATTTTGAAAAGTTTTAAATTCAAAAAGTGCGGGTCTAACTTTACACACATCAAAGAAAGGTGGGAATGCAACCTGGATCCTCGGAAGGCGGAGACCTTCCTCGCCAGGAGATGTAATGTCATAAGACGTGTCCCGTCGACTGACGCCGCAATCTTCTCCCAGAGAAGAGACGTTCTCCTTCGTCGCCGTAACTCTTTCAATGAAAGATTGAATATGGACGTCTGGGCACCATTCCGAGAGATGAGCGAAAATGCCCTAAAAACTCGTTGTTCTTCACTCCGCAGGGGGCCTTACTTATATTTTTCTTCGTGAGAATTTTAACTGCGGAAAAGCAGAATCGGCGTGCGACGCCTAGCGGAGAGAGCCGGTACTCCGCGCTGCTTACTTATGTAGCGCGCGTGCTGTATTTCGTATACCGGTTTGTCTCGAGGGCGCGCGCCGCCTAGCGGCAGCGGTGGAACTAAACGCAGCCGCGCTTTTTGTGGAGAGTACCGTCACAGTGTGAACGACAATGTGACAAAGTTCATACATTTTTTTACTTTTTTCCTGTCACAAAATAAGTCCATACATGTTAATATAAATTAAATTTTTTTCGGAGATGCATTAATTGCGATAAAATTATTTCATAAGATGTAATGATTTAATGTAATTCGTGTGATTATTTGTATCTAATTTATACGCGGAGATCTATGTTAAAGAATTTTTATATTGTATTTATACGCTGAAATTTACATATGCTAAAGATGATCAAAAAATCGGTCGAAACGTTTGTGATTATTAATTAATAAAATAAAATAATTTATTCTTCCTCTTCCATTTGCGCTCAGATCCTTATGCCATTTATTAATTTATTTGAATGTGAAAGGATCTTTTTAATTTATTTTAGATCTATGTTAAAAAGTTTTTATATTGTATTTATAGGCTAAAATTTTTATTAATTTACACGCTGATCGAAAAATCGGTCCAAAAATTCGTGATTATTAATTAATAAAATAACAAAATAATTTATTCTCGCTCTTCCATCTGCGCTCAAATCCTTATGCCAATAATAATTATGTAATAATATAAAGAAATTAAACAATTATAAAACTATTAATTATTGAAATAATGATATAATAATATAAAAATATTTACAAAAAGTACTTTTATTAACACTTTTATAACTTTTTTAAAAATTTATTATTTATTGAGTTCAATCAATTAAGTAATAAATATAGTTTCGTTGGATTAAAATACCTGCTGAGTTATGAAAATATCGTTGTTGTAAACATTTTACTCAATTATTTAAATATGTAAATTATGTATATACATATACAGTAGACTCCGGATAACTTGCCCCCCGCGAACTTTCCGTTTAAACTACTTCTCCTCCACATATACGCTCACTAACATTAATATCGTGTCTCTACTATCTGTATAGAAAGTCGCGCCACTCGCGTCGCGCCGGCGAAGCGGTGGCGCATCTACATAACGCGCCTGCAGCAGCAGAACAGAAGCCGAGAAGAGGTGGTACTCGATTACTTACCATTTCTAAGAATTTTCTACTCCTACAGCCCCGAAGTCGGAAAGTTATCCGGAGTCTACTGTATATATATATGACGACTGTGACGCCCAAAAATAATTATTATTTGATGGAATGGCCCATATATACCATATAATATTTCATTTGATGGAATGACCCATATTATATGGTATATATTGTAACCGACCGCGCGAAATTCGCAGCGAATTCGTAATCGTACGTAAGGAGGGATTCCCTCCTGCTGAATGTCGGCTTCCCTTCGGCACGATCTCTCTGTCCGATCCAAAAAAAAATAATTCTCTAATAAGTTGGGTGCCAGGTGCGGCAGCCGCACCGTCTCTGAAGAAAGTTAATTACGGAACGCTAGAATTTTATTGTTTCGGACGTATCGTCAAAGAGCTCTCGCGAATGTCGTCCCCGGGAGAGAGAGAGATCGCGACGGTAACTTTCCCGCTCGGCTAGCCCTCGTACAGGTCAGAGTTCGGGTGCGTGGCGGCGAAAAATCACCAGAGATATTAAAGTTTAATAAAACATATATTTGAATCTCCTCAGAGCGAGGAAGTAAGACACAAGAGATATATAAAATATAAAGAATAGCGGCGTGATCAAACGCACGGTTAAAATTTTCGGGTGATGTAATACGACCGGTGGTTCGCCGTGCCGAGTGGTGAATAAGATTTAGATAATTCGCGGTAACGAGGTAGTTTCTCGAACGACCAAAAAAAAATAATTAAATCGGCGATGCGCCACCAGGTATATTACGTCATACCGCGAACGCGTGATCCGCGCGGTATGCGCGACAACAAAGGGGCAGGCGTAAGGCGCGCCGCGTGCGTCGTACACAAGTTCCATACAAAGAATTATAAGTAACAATGCCTTTTCTCTTAAGAATAACAATAATACATTAACGAGCCCGAAAGCGTTTATGAGCTCCCCGATAATTTGCCTTGGATAATTTTCGGCAATTCATAAATCACGAAAATTTTCGCGCGACAAGGTTACGCACGAAGACTGTCAACGCGGGAGAGAGAATATGCGGAAACGCGAGAGAGTAGATGGGTCGTAGTTTTCTCCTAATAGGATCTTCTTTTCTTTAATTACTCGACTCGACAACAAGGACTACTTTCTCGAATTCTTTATTACTGACCGGCAACTAAATCCGGCAGGATTCTCTACGATAAGTAATTAGGGACCCATCCACTCTGCTACCTTAATTCGGCGGCGGCAGGATGACCACGTCGTCTCACCAGTTCTCTCGGCAATCCCTGCGTCCTCTCCTCTCTCGCTCTCTCTTTGGCTTTGCTCTCGCTTTAGGACCTCTGCTCTCTTCGGGCGCTCGCCAGACAGTGCCGAACCGGGGGCCCTCAGGAGACACGCCGGTGACCCAATTACCTAGATAGGCCACTCGTGGCGCTATCAAGTCGGGCCGCGCGCGCGGCCTCGGTGATTCTTGCGGCCGCGCGCTTAATTATTCTTATCCGCGGATTCTTGATCCGCGGCTTGCCCTCCGTAGGCGGTCGTCACGGCAGCGCACGGCAGGACCGCTCCTGGCTCTCCTTCGGGATTCCGGATGTCCCGGGGGTGGCAGCTCTCCTGCCGGCGCTCCGTATGCGGGGACTCGGGTGCATGTTGTACCCGAGTGGCCATCCCCTGCTCGCTCCTGGAAAGTACAAATTTTTAGGCGGCGGTACCTACTTCGTTGTCGGATGTTTGGTGAAAGTATTTTG